ACAAAATTATTAAAAATATAGTGTGTGTATAAGTTATATATGAAACAAATTAACTGCATGTTTAAGACTTGGGTCCCATCCCCAAGATACCTCATTATATATGCAAAAAAATCCAAAATCCGTAACACTTCTAGTCCCCAGTATTTTGGATAAGGGATACCCAATGTGTACCATCACATTAACCAGAACAACTTTTATCAGAGAAGGAACCCTGTGGCATGCCCAGAAACACTCCAGCTTATCAGTAAATCTTTGGTAATTGCAGATAAGGAAAAAAATGCTACTATTTTCAGTAAGTAGCCAACTACCTGGATAAAATATAATTCTGACTTTGATCGCCCACCAGAAGAGATCTGCAAGCAGGGAACAAAAAAACTAACAAGCCATTCTGCACATAAGCTTTTCTTAATACACAAAGGAAAGCTTAGACAAAGAAAATGCCAAAGGATTTCAAAGATGTCACTACTACCTTCGAAAGCGAAAATGGGAAATACGAGTTAAATAATTGGTGTCTTCCTGTCCTTTGTTATAGGCAAGATGCTGACCAAACTAGCTCCTGGTAGACCACTATGCAAAACATCCCACCATTTCCATCTTCCACTACTGAATAGCTCTGGTCCGCAACTTGGAACAGTAGACATGACCTAGGCAGTAAAACATAAAGTACTCTGGAAATAACCAAGATTTCCACATTTTTATTAGTCCTTTAAAATGTACTTAATTCTAAACAACAACTGGCCTGGACTGTTCAAAAATATCAATACCATGAAAAACAAAAGCAAGGGAACTACATTAAAGAAACACGACAACAAAATGTAATGCATAATTCTTGACTGGATGCAAGATTTTAAAAAATAAGCCACAAAGAAATTTTGGAACTAAAGAAAAATTTGAACATGTACTATACATTATATACTATTGTATCAATGTTAAGTCTCTTGAGATAATGGTATTGTGGTTATGTAGGAAAATGTCCTTGTTCTTAAAACATACATTGTAAATATTTAGAGGTAAAGTGCCATGTCTGTACTCAACTGTCTGAAAAAAATGCATACATATGTAGAGAAAAATAAAGCAAATGTGAAAAACCTGTAACAATTAGTAAATCTAAGCGAATGCAGATGGGTGTTCACTATGTGCTATGGTTTGAATATATGTCCCCCCTCCAAAACTCAACCCCCAATATGGTGGTATTGAGAGGGGAGGCCTTAAGAAGTCAAGTGATAAGGAATCTGCCTTCATGAACAGATTCCCATTCATGAATTAGTGGGCTAATGGATTAATGCATTATCATGGGAGGGGAACTGATGGCTTTATAAGAGGAAGTAGAGACTTGAGTTAGCACGTTAGTATGCTCTGCCCCCTCACCATCTGATGCCCAGAGCTGCCTCAGGACTCTACAGAGAATCCCCATCAGCAAGAAGGCCCTCACCAGATACATCCCCCAACTTTGGACTTCCCAGCCTTCATAACTGTAAATTCCTTTTCTTTAAAATTACCCACTTTCAGGCATTCTGTTATAAGCAACTGAAAACAGACTAAGAAACTATGGTACTCCAATTTTTCTATAGGTTTGAAATTTTTCAAAATAAAAAAATGGAGGATAAAAAAGGAAAAAAAAATGTAGTTAACAGCATCTTGGAATCAGGTGTTTTACTGGCAGACCTAAGTTCTCAGGTGATTGAGATGGTAATCAGTTGGTTCAGATTTTTGGTATCCTTCCTCATCCATTCCTGAATAAAAATAAAGTAAATGCCTGTACAACTTCTGGGAGAGAGCATGGTGTCAATGAGGCATTTAACAAAAGACTAATAAATTACCAAATATTCATAACCTGGAATCTAGAATCTTACAATAGCTTTTTATTTTTTATTTTTTTGAGACAGAGCCTCAATCTGTGGCCCCAGGTAGAATACAGTGGCATCATCATAGCTCACAGCAATCTCAAATTCCTAGGCTCAAGCGATCCTCCTTCCTCAGCTGCCCCAGTAGCTGGGACTACAGGCACACGCTGTAACACCCAGCTAATTTTTCTATTTTTAGTAGAGATGGGCTCTCGCTCTTGCTCAGGCTGGTCTCCAACTCCTGACCTCAAGCAACCCTCTTGCCTCGGCCTCCCAGAGTGCTAGGATTACAGGCGTGAGCTACCACGCCTGGCCAAGACTCCTTACGATAGTCTTAAAAAGAATAAGCTTTGTCTATATATACTGTCATGGCAAGTGGTTCAAAATGTATTAACTGGGCCGGGTGCGGTGGCTCACACCTATAATCCTAGCACTCCGGGAGGCCGAGGCAGGAGGATCACCTGAGGTCAGGAGTTTGAGATCAGCCTGAGCAAGAGCGAGATCCCCGTCTCTACTAAAAATAGGAAAAAAATTAGCCAAGCAACTAAAAATAGAAAAAATTAGCTGGGCATGGTGGCGCACATCTGTAGTCCTAGCTACTCCGGAGGCTGAGGCACGAGGATCTCTTGAGCCTAGGAGTTTGAGGTTGCTGTGGGCTAGGCTGATGCCATGGCACTGTAGCCCAGGCAACAGAGTGAGACTCTGTCTCAAAAAAAAATATATTAACTGAATGAAACAAATAACAAATGTAATAAGGAAAGTATGATGCAATTTTTTCAAATATTTATGTAAATTATTTAGGTTGCAGGAAGAATTTTACAAGTTACTTTCACTTTCTCTGTTGCATTTGCATATATTGCTTTTATAATAGGTCAAAAACATCAAAAGACACACATAATTAACCAAGCTAAAATTCTACCAAAGCCACAGCATCCTTCACTTTGGTTCTGAGATATGCACTAGATGCCAGCCAGAGGCATATCTAGGGATACTTTCATCAAAATTATGAACAGTATTTGTCATCAAACGTCAAACGATTAATGAAGTTCTAAAATGCAGCCATTATTCACTAAATTCATTCATTAAAAATACCATTTGTTAGTGGTGGGTTTTTTTTTTGTTTGTTTTTTTTTTAACAAAGTCAAAGTCCCAATCTGTCGCCCAAGCTGGAGTACAATGGCACAATCATAGATCACTGCATCCTCAAACTTCTGGGCTCAATCAATTTTCCCATCTCAGCCTCCCAAGTAGCTGGGACTGCAAGGACACAGCCACCATACCCGGCTTAAACATACATTTATTGAAGGCAACTTTGTACCTAGTACTGTGGATAAGATATAGGATACCGTGGATAAGATATAAGATACCGTGCATAAGAGTAAGATAGATTGTGCCCTCAAGGAGTTTACATTCTAACTGGAAGAACCACACAAGCAAACCATTAACCCAAAAAGAACACAATAAATGTCACAGCGGTGATGCTTTCAGATGCACAAGGCTAATGAATAAGATGCTATGAAGAATAAGCAACATAAAGTCAAAGGCAGATGAGATGATGTGCTAAGCACATATTCAATCAGTGCATCTCAGACACAGGGTGCAGACTAATATAACATTCCCGAGCACACAGCAGGTTCATACAATAATATTTACTCAATGATATATTAAAATTAAGATGAAGAAATGTAATTCTGTTCAAACATTTATTAACTGTTTGCCAAGAATTCAGCCCAAAGCCAAATTACAAAGACAAAACTCAGTTCCTACCCTCAAGGTACTCATAGACACAAGTAATTCTCTTTCCTCTTTAAAACAGAAATATGCCATTAACAGGCATATTTGTTATATATAGCATGTATAACTATATATAATTACATATAATTACAATATATATAATATACAATACATATAAAATAATAGAAAAGTGTCAGTAACAGGCAATTAAGGACGAAGAACCTAAGAATAACATAAAGGCTACCATTTATCAAGGACTGACTCAATGTCGAGGATGCATACACCACCATAAAAAGAGGGCTTAAATCCATCCTAGATTACAAAGCTAGGTTATGAAGTCAGGGGCTCTCCCAAGGCTGAATTACAAGAAAAGCATGCAAAACCAGAAGAAAAACAAAAAGTCCAAACTATTAAAAGACTAAGTTTCATGACTTCAGGTTATATAGTTGGTATTTGTTCAGGTTTTTAATTAAATTTGAATTAATACAGTCTATCAAGAAAAAAATTAAAAGGAAAATGTTTGTATAATGGCTACTGCAATTTATAAACACATTATAGAAGAATACAAGGGTCAGCATCAAATTTTCAGTTTCTCCAGAGTCAGCAAGTCATCTTATGTCTAAATCAGGGGTCAGCAAAATATAGACCCAAGTCAAATCTAGCCTGCTGCCTGTTTTCATAAATAAAACAAACACTTATTTATAAATAAGCTTTTTTTATTGGAACACAGCCATGCTCATTCATTTGCGTATGGTCTACGGCTACTTTCCTGCTACAATGACAGAGCTGGAGTGGTTATGAAACAAACAGTATGGTCCATAAAACCTAAAATATTTATTTTCTGGACTTTTATAGAAAAAGTTTGCAGACCTCTGGTCTAAATAATTGCCACATATATCACAAATGGTAAGAAAATAATTAGTCTGTTAATTTCACCCTTTTAAGCTTTATTATGAACTCTACCTGATTTAGGTTCTCTTCTTTTGTAATTAGTGTCACTTAGTAAGTGCTAATGAGTTTTTGAATTTCCACAAATATGTTCACATTTCTGTTATTTTCCATAGAGTAGGTCTTACTTTAGCTGCCTCGTAATCTATCCTTCACATCATTATTACAACAAAATCCTAATTAAGGCACATTTGCAATCATCCCCACGCATACTTACCCTTCAATTTTGTACAACCTACAAAGATATAGACAAGCAAAGCTGAACAAAGACAAGAAATGCTATGACTAAACAATTCTTAATATCCTGTTCACACTAGAACATCTCAAAGTGCCATTTAGGACCAACAGCATCAGTGTCACCCGACTGCTTAATAGAAATGCAAATTCATGGGCCCCATTCCAGACCTACCAGGTGATTCTAATGCACACTAAAACTTTGAGAATTACTGCACGAAAATAGTTTATATTACTTACCTTGAGTGTGAAAAGGCTGATTCGGCCAGGCAGTTTATAAAACAGCCCCTCTCCTCCTCTTGAATTGGAATGTAGCATGGCATTGAGGCACGCAAGAGGGGATGTTCCACTATAAAACACAAAAGGATGGATGAGGATCATACAAATCCATTTGCCTACTTACTCAAAGACCTAATCCCTCTAACTCATTCTCAAATTGAGAAGTAGAGCAAGAAATATAGAAGAAAAGATCTCATGACAACAATATCACTGTGAAAGTAATAAAAGAATAACCAAATGAAATTCATAAATCACACTCAGAGAGCTCTGGGATAAGAGATGTTATGTGATACCCAAAAGCCGTATCTAACACTTTTTTTAGTGCTTTTTGAGAATATGAATGACACTGCCCCAAAATTTAGAAAAAACACATAATGATGTTATGTTATATTTTAACAAAAATTTTTAAAATTTTCATAAAATTTTACTATTACAAACAAAATTGAGAGCTTCCTAGCCTCTACATTTCAACCTACATATCATGCTCAGAAACTGCCATACATCATTACCATCACAAAGACCACATCATCAACTGTGCTGTTCAGATAAAATAAGCAATCCTTTTTTGCAGCTAAGTATATTCTGATAAGCACGCAAAAGGAATAATACTTCATTTGCTTTTTTCTGTTGTGTCTGGGGGGATGAGTTTTATTCTATAATACATCTACCCCAGAACAATCATTTAAATCTGAATGCAAAATGTAAGTTAAGTAAATTTAGTATCCAGTAATGCTTAAACAGTAAACTAAAAAGATGGCATATTAAGCTGTTTCATGGTCCCTGTCACAAGAGTAGGGTACAAAACAGTGACCATTCAGTGAGATAGAGGCTACCTACTGAATCTAAAATAGAAAAGCTGCCAAAAATATAGACAAATGCCTATTTTTATTAACTAGGTTTGGCACTAGCATGTTAGTGCCAAGACTCACCTGTGCATCTTCTCTTAAAAATATAAACACCTTAACTAAAGCCTACTGGCATTTTTCAGAACTAAAGGCCCTAATTTATTCAGTGTTAAAAATAAATTCTGAGTCTAAAAAAGCCATTAAAAAAACTATTACTTATTTTGCTTTGGAAGACACTGGATGCTAAAAAATTTTTCACCAAGAACCAATCTCTAAAAGAAACTTTGTGCAGAATCTGGAGTATCAAGTGGGTGTGCCAGCATCTTTGCTACAAGGGGGAATGGCATGCTGGCAAAGTCCTTCTGTAACTCCTACACACTACACCTCTGTCTACAAATTATAGAGCTGCTAACTCATCACAAGCCATCATGACTGCTTCATAATTCCTGTAAGAGCAAGAAGGAGAAGCAAGTTAAAGTTCTTAATTCCATCTGTCCCAAAGGGACTAATTTACCTTCTATACGGATAGTGGTCCAACAGCAGTGCAGACAGCAGCATGATGGGAAATAGCCCATAAAAACAAAAATAAGCACAATTATAAGACTACACAGGGCACAAGTACAAGTCAAATAAATGTGATCTAGACAATCCTAATCTTCCCTCCCCACAAAATATCACTTTGAGACTGTTTAAACTGACAACTGGAAAATGAGGACCTTTTGACCCTAAAAGGTCAATTAAAGCACCTAAAGCTTGACCAGCAACAATATATGTTATTTGTTCTGTGTTCCAGAAAAGAATTTTGTGCTCTCCTCCTTCATTTAAAAAAAAAAAAAAAAAAAAGTTTGCGTTAAGGGTAAGAAGAGAGAAAGATTAAGGACAGTCACTAGTTTTTCATGCCTGCAATTCCTTTTGTGTTTCTAACTTGTTGCTCCTCTAGGAAAACTACATTAAAAGAAAATCAAGGTCATCTCAAAATTCAGTATATTCATATCATAAACGGCTAGAATCAGTAGGAGGGGAAAAAAGCCAGTGGGTTTTATGCTGAGACCACCTCTCTTTGATCCTAAAAGGACTTCAGAGGTACGACATAGAGAAAAGGGTAATTATAGGCACAACAGAGCCTATCAGGGTCTGCCCCTTCTCTACTACTGAAACTTGCAAAATAGTACAACAGAATATGTGCCCTGACTCTTTACACAAAAACAAGCTCTATGACAAGATTTAAGGGAGAGCAAAGATAGGGAAAGCCACTGTACCTCTGATGAAAACAAATGGATGTTCACCCACTCCCACCCTCCACTCGGAGGACACACAACCCGGGAGGTGGATAGTTCGACCTAACCACCAGACACACAGCACAGATATAGACATAGGTGCACGTACTCGTATCACTACACAACTATGGAAAGACACATGTCCTATGAAACCCTCACGTTTAGCAATAAGAGCAATACAAACCTCATTTCCTTTAGTCCTTCTGCCTCTATGACCTGTAGAATCTGTTTTGGTGTCATTGGAGCATCCGAGTAGTTTTCTAATACCTGAAGAAATATAAATGTCCTGATTTCAGTGTGTAATTTCCATGTATATCCATTAATCTGTATTATGGGCTACAGTTCTGCTATGAGGTACTAGTGACAATTTAGTTTTTCCACAGTTAAAATTACTTCAGAAACCAAATTACATATATTTCCAGTTACTGAAAGTTACTGCAATTAGCTGAAATGTTCTAATTCACAATTCTAAGAACACACATCTTGGCAAACATGTTACGGTACGTGAGACCTTAGTAACGCTGGTTACTGCTTAACTTGATGCTGTTACTATGGCTAAACTACAGAATATATAGTGCTGCACAATAAATTTTAACACGGAAATGTGTTCAAATTTTATTTCCTAAGGAAGTATCATTAGTACTCATTTTTAAATGGTGCTTTTTGCCATTGTGTTGTGAAATTCTGGTGTTAACTGCCACAGTACATTTTGCCATTTGGCAACATTATGCTATGATTCTGTGTGACTGGTGCAAGCAAACAACGAGAGGTGGAATGTCCTGTTTATGTTAGCATCACCTATAACTAAGTCATGACAATACTTTCTTAGTGCACAAGTGGATTCTCACTTTAAGAAGTTGAATTGTTTTAGAAATGTGAGTCTTCTAAGGGAAGAAAAATACCATCATTATCTTTGTACTTTCTCTACCTGTGCAACCAACTGAGGTTACTCCAAATCAAACTAACATCTTACAGTCCATTTAACCACTAACTGTAACAACCAAGTACCGTCATCACAAAACGTAAAGCAAGAAGTCTGACAGGACTACTACTGAAGTTACTCCCTATGCTAGAAGATAAGCCCTTAGCACTAAAGAAAGCCAAGGTTTGGAGAAGTAGGTGCTAAAATAAAACCTCTATTTCCCATGGTCTCATCCTCAGCCTCTCCCTTTTCAATTTTTACATTATCCTTGGGTAACACTGTCATCTTTCACAGTTTCAACTACTACCTAAATTCTGGTAACTCCCAAATCTCTACCTTTAGCTCTGACTTCTCTCCAAACTTCAGATTCAAATATTCAGTTCTGTGCTGCACACACTACCCGCTTGATGGTCTACTCTAATTCAGCTCCACTCTAATTCATTTAATCAGTAACTCTAAGTCATCTCTTCTCCAGATTCCCTTCTTCCTATATTCCCTACCTTGGTTAGCAGCCTGTCTGGTCACCTAATTCAGAAACGCAGGCATCATCCTTCTCTATCATCTGTCCCTCGAGCCAAAGTCAGTCTCTTACCAGACCCCAACAAAACTGCCTCTTCATTAATATCCCTTCATCTAGTCCTGCTCTCCTCAAATCCACTCGTACTGTTGTCATCTTTCATTCAACAAACATGTAGAATACCTACTTTGTGCCAGACATGATTCTAGGGATTCACAGTAAACAAAACCACATCCCCACTCCCACAGAACTTACATACCATAGCCTGGGGGTTTCAGGATGGTTCAAGCACATTACATTTATTGTGCAGTCAAACCTCTCTGCTAATGATAATCTGTATTTGCAGCAGCTCCCCAGCACTAGCATCACCACCTCGGCTCCACCTCAGATCCTCAGGCACTGGATTCTCATCATGAACATACGACCTAGATCCTTCGCATGCTCAGTTTGTAGCAGGGTTAGCGCTCCTAGGAGAATCTAATGTCCATTGCTGATCTGATAGGAGGTGGAGTTTATGAGGTGATCTAAGTGATGGGGAGCACCCGTAAATACAGATGAAGCTTCATTCACTCACTTGCGGCCACTCACTTCTTGCTGTGCCGCCCAGTTCCTAACAGGCCAGAGTCTGGTACTGGTCAGTGGCCCAGGGGTTGGAGGCCACAGGCCTACAGTGCCTGGCACAGAGTAGGTGCTCACTGGCATGGCATACAAGGCCCTCACAATCTGGTCTCTGTCTCTCTACCTGATTTCCACACTGACACTCCACAAACTTTATGTTCCAGTAACTACTCATAGTTCTATCCAATTCCCACACTTTGCAAATACACATATACTTTCCCTCACACACACACACTCTCTTCTATTAATTCATTTCACCAGCTCCTGCTTATGCCCTCTGTGATGGGCCTAACTTCTACTTAACCTTCAAGATTCAGCTCAGAAAGTACATTCCTCCAGAAAGCCTTCCCTGATCTCCACCAAATAGAGTTAAGGGTCTCTTCTCCATGTTCCCATTGTTTCAATGACACATACATTAAAAAAAAGTTACCTTCCAAACCAGGACGCTTGAAAGTGAAAGGAGGAACTATTAGTGATTATGCCTGGACAAAAGGCAGGAACTAGGATATCTGTTTAAGAATTTACACATCTATGATAACATTTATCATGCCTGTAGTAAAATTCTGTTTATGTGTCTGGACCTTCTCCATCCCCAGACAAGGGGCAAATCTTAATCCATCTTTGTATTCTGCGAACCTAAGCACCAAGATAGGAAGCATTGACTTGAACAGACTTACAATAAACCCTGGTACAAGTTACTAATGTTCACTGCCACAGATATCATTTCTCTGATACTAATTAAGTGTGGGCTGAGCTAGTGAATTTTTGTAGGATAATTTTTTTAAAGAAGCATGACTAAAAAATTATCTACCAATTATTTACACAACAGTCAGGAACAGCCTGAAAATTTAAGACAGAGGAAACTAAATCTCTAAAGGGAAGTTACATCAAATGATACACAATATTCACTTTTATAAAAACTGTGTATGCCTCCAGCTTTTAGTAGAAGAACAATTCAGCAGTGTTCTATTCCTAGTCTGTCTTTTTTTAAAAAAGAAAGAAAAAAGTATCTTCTACTTCAAAGGCAAAAAAATGTTTGATGTTAAGAATGGTCAGTCACGAATCAAAGCAAAAGATAAAGCATGCAATGAAGAGTTTCTCAAAGCCAGGGAGAATCCATTTAAGGGTACTCAATTTAAAGGGAAATCCCCTTGGCTACTCTCCCAAACAAATTGTTCATAACAAGCAGAAGGATTTATACACACCCAACCACCTAAAGTCTACTTTTACGTCCAGAAAAGGCAATACTACAAAATGTTTGAAAAGAAGAGTTATCTATTTCTCAACAACACAATTAACAGCTGCAAAAATCAATCTCCCGGGGTACTCTACTCTACTGAAATTCTCCAGAAGTCTCTTTTCTCTAGAAAAACAATTTTTAAAAGGGTTCCCAGGATCACTCTACTCACCAATCTGAGGGTGGGAGCAATCTGAAGTGCCCCCAAGCAAGTGAATACGATTGCAATTGCAAGCACTCTAAATTCACCTGTCCAAAGAGATTACTAAGTGTACAGGTGACCTAATTAACTGCACTACCATTACAACTCACTCCTAGTCAAGTTTCTCTCTGTCCAGTATGGGCTCTCATGAACTCTCCAGCACTCAGCGCTACAATTTTATTTTAAACAGAAAGAGGACTTTTCCCCTTCACCTACCAACCAGTCCCATCCAAAGGGATGGAAAATTCTAAAACAAAAAACACATAAAAGATACTCAAAATTACACACCACACTCTCATGAGTCCTCTTTTACATGTAGAACTGCACCACAAAATAATTCCTAATCACATTACTATTTTTCATGAGGAGCCACAGAAGAAAAAGAAGAGAAATAACTTCCTTTGATAATCTGGCTTGAAGTTGAGCCAATGATAAAAACAGAAATAGCAAGCTCAATATTGGAGTTCAGACCACAGTAAATTCAAGAACCTAAAGAGGCTTAACATAACACTAGACCCCAAATTGCTAGTCTTTCAACTAGTAAAAGCCAACAGAGCTTTGAGACAAATACACTTCACAATTCTGTCAAGACATAAATAACCAGGATTTAAAGGTACTTTCACCTACCTTTAACAAGTAAAACTCTGGCAAGCAAATTTCCTTTGGGTGCCCAGAGTCATTAACACCTGCATAACAGAAACTCGGAGAAGAATTTCAATGAACACATAAGACTCAACCTCCAGGAGAAAGACAGTGCATCCTCTTGGCTCTCTCCGACTCCACTTCAGGCCTAAATTTATTTGCAGGTGAAGCAACAATTAGAGAAATCCTGAAATTTCCAAGAGATCCTGAAAACTAACCAAAGTTTCCACTTTTGATTGAATCAGAAAAAAAAAAAATATTCAGGGACTGGAAATCTTGAGATTTCACATGCCAAACCAAAATAAATAAACTGAAGCACAAAACTTCAGCATACGAAAAACAGCTATTTCTGTTTCCTGGGCAACAAATGCCTAGAGAAGAGGATCCGGAACACCAGCAAAAATTCTGTAGCCCAAACAGCTTGAGTTCTTATAAATCAGTAACTGGGTTTCAGAGACTCCAAGAAAGAAAAAGGTGTACTAAGGTGTACTTCAGGTTTGTAACAACCCCCAACACATAGTCATCTTTTTTTGAACAACGTCTTTGAGGCAGAAAACTCACTTCGCAGTAAGAGGGAAAATTAAAAGGTTGAGCTTCATTCATCTTAAAAGTGAATTATAGCAATTACATATATAACTACAGGGTGTCAAGAGACCCTTATGCTATGTGTACTACAACCTCAATGTATGACAGTTTTGAAGAAGTGACATCTCTGGGAAAAGTATAACCTGTTACTGTTGTCATCAGCAAATTTTATAAGAACAGGCCTCAAAGTGTCTTAGCTATGTGGGTGCAAACCCGAAAGGAAGATATTTCACTTACAAATCCTCTGATGCTTCGAACAGAAAATTCACATTCTCCCTCACCAGTCAGCTTCAAACACTCAAATTACTCTCTCCTTCGCTAAATCCTCAGTGAGCAGTATCTTCAAACAGAGACACTTTGTCTTTGTCCAACATACATTCTTTGCAAAGTGTTTTCAGTTCTCTGCAAAGTGCCTATCTCCAGCCCAGCTTATGAAGTAAAACACCCTAGTCAGCGTTTCTCAAAGTGTGGTCCGTGGGCCACCTGCATTAGAATCACCGGGGAAGCTGGTTAAAATGAAGATTCTCAGGCTCTATTCCAGAATCTCAGACTCAGTAGAGCTTAAGACAGACCCTAGGAGGAGCAGTTCTAACAACCTCCCAGGTGTCTCCCACAGGACACTAAAGTTTGAAAACCACTGCGGAGGGTTCAAGCTGGGAGTAATCACTTGCTTCCCTCCACACACATGGCTTAGATTGGGAAAGCTCAAAATGTCACTGGCGTCCTTGAAATTGGGGTCGCTTTTCCACCCCCGGAGTCAAACGCACCACCCCATTACCCACCAGGAAGCGAAGGAGGAGCTTCCGACCCTTCCCGGAAATCTAACTCCCCCGGGTGAATAAACGAAGCTTCCCCAGACCCCCAGACGCTGCCAAATAGTGGGGGAGGGGAAGCTGGGGCCCCGCCGCCCAGAGGGGGAGGAGCCGGCCTGCCAGCTCGCCCCTCCGCAGGAATTTGGCCGGGGGGGAGGGGGGTGCAGAAAAAGGCGCCACATCCCTCGCCGGCGGGGCACCTCACCCCACCCAACGCCTCGTAGGGTTGTCCCGTTCTTAGAGGAAGGGTGGCCCCGCCCCCTCCGGCGGCGGGCAGGGCTTTGCCCCTCCCCCTCCCGGTAGGGGGGTGCGCGGTGAGCCCACCCCCCACTGAGCCCCCCTCTGCGGCCCGCCTCACCAGGCGCGCGGCCTCGGCCCACGTGCGCTCCTTCTTCCTCTTCTGTTTGTCCTTCATCCTCCTCCTCCCCGGCGGCGGCTGCGGCTCCACGCGGGACCTCCGGGCGGGGCGGGTTGGGGCGGCGGCGCGGGGCTGGGGCGGCGGCGGCGGCAAGGGGTGCGTGGCGGCGGTGCGCGAGGACTCGGGTGCGGCCGGGGAGAAGGGGCGGGCGCGCGGGGACCGGCTGGCGCGAGACCCGGCGCGAGGGCGACGGTGGGGGAGGGGCGGCAGCAGTTCCACGCGCCCGCGCTGCGTCAGTCGCCCACGGCGGCGGCGACGGCGGCAGCCCCGCGATCGCTAAGGAATGCGACGGCTCCGCATAACCACGGGGTCAGAGGTCACAGCTCCGGCCTCCGCTTTCCCGCTCTGCTGAGGGACGGCGACAGGACTGGCGGCGGGGCGGGAGGGCGAGGCGCGGCTTTCCCTTCGGCGCCCGGGTGAGTGCGTGTCTGCCGTGGGTGTGTGTGAGTGTGTGTGAAGAGTGAGGAGGGGGAGTGTGGGTTTTTTTTTTTTTTTGAACAAAAACAAACCGAAAGGGTGACTGGGAATCGTAGTCCCAGCTGCCTCTCCGGCCTCCCCCGCTCCGGAAGAATATGGCTGCGTGAAGCGCTTGGACCACACTTCCCGGCGTGCCCCGCGGCCAGGTTTTCCGCCCTCCTTTTCCCGTCCTCCGCCTCGCGCAGCGATCGGTTCAGAAGGGGGACGGATAGTCGTTCGGGGAAGGGACTGGGTGGAGTCTCGCGAGGTGCGGGAACTGGCTGGGGACCTGAGGGATTCTGGGAGGCGATGCTGGGAAGGGGCGGTGGCTGGGCTCCCCGGCCACAGTTAACCCCTTCGGCGCTTCTTGCCTTGGCACCACTGGGCCGTTGAGGGTGGGGATCGAGACTGCCAGCTCCCCCTTTGCGTGTCTGCTTGCTTAAGTAGTTCTTACCTACACTTCTCGTAGGTGACGAGAGGCAGGACTTTCCCTTTTGGTCCGCCCTAGATGACTCACTGCCGCATAATAATGAGACAAAAAGACACTCATACCGATAAAACGGTTATTCCACGATTGATGGACTTAGACGGTTCCCCGTTTCCTCCTCTACTTTCATGCTGCTATGTATTTGCAAAGCCTGCGCCTACAGCCTAGAGCGTTCTTACCAGTTAGTGAACTTGGTGATATCATGATGGGTAATGTAAAGAACTTGGACTTTGGGGCTATACCGACCAGAATGCACCAGTGTGTGTCTTTAGAGACAGTTCCCTGGAGAGAGCTCAAGCCCTGGAGTCACACGGAATCCTGGCTGAATCACTCCTGGCTGTTGGCTTAACCTCTGTGAGCCTCAGTTTTCTCCTCTACGTCAGTATCTCACAGCACTATTGGAATTTAAATTAACATAAAACACCTGGCAGAAGAGGTGTCTTATGTTTGGAAGAGGATGTGAAGGAAGACCTTGACATTATTAGGTCGATAGAATTTGGCTCTGGCATAGAGCAAATGTTTAATTAATAAATGGTAGCTGTTATTACCAACTGAGAGACAATGAGCAATGTACTTGGCCTCTTTGATCCTTAGTTGCAGAGAGTTAAATGATGTGATGTTCAGAGCACCCAGCACATAGAAGTTTTTTTGTACCTATTTGTTGGATCAATGTCCAGAAACATTTCTAGAATCAGTCCTGAACGAGATTAATGACCAGCTCTTAAAAACTGTGAAGGCAGGGTCAGTAGCCACATTTGAAAGTTTTCCCTGGGTGTGCAGACACACCCTCCACTTCCTGGTATTAGCACATAGGAGAGAGAAAGCCAGTGCTGAGAGAAGATCATTACTGGGCAGCCCAACCCCTAATGCCAAGGCGTTCAGTGTTCTAATACTGGCCACACAGAAGACTTTCGAATGCAGTAAGCAAAACCCTACAAGATAAAAAGACTGTAAAGGTGAAATAAGACATGTTTTTAAATCTTCTGTTCTTCTAGCATTATCCAAAGAGAGAAAGAAGATAAACAACCCTACCTCCAAAAATTGTTTGACTTGATTTCTTAGAAGTTTTTTTACTTTTTTTTTTTCAATCTGTAGCTGACACAGTAAATTTTGACAAGTCATTTGGCTTTTTTCAAATATCTTTTTGAGTAGCTTCACTCCCCTCTGACCTACAAAGAATACCTAGAAACGATTCATTCTAAAATTTACATGTTATTATACACAGTAGAGGCACTGTGGTAGGCAGAATAATGTCCTCCTCCCTCATCCATAATTGTCCACGCCCTAGTCCCTGGAACCTATGAATATGTTACATTCCATGGCAAAAGGAACTTTGCAAATTGGAAATAAGGACCTTAAAATAGGAAGAGTATCTGGGTGGGCCCAGTGTAATCACATGGACACTTAAAAGCAGAAGAAGAAGGTAGAAGAGATGTTTTGGAGAGAGATAAGGCAGAAGAAGAATTAGATTCAAAGTTTGAGAGGAACACAACCCACTGGTTTTGAAGGTGGCCACAAGCCACCGAATGTAGGCAGCCTCTAAAAGCTGAGAACAAGCCCTTCGAACAGCCAGCAAGGAAACGAGTACCTCAGTCCTACAACCTCATGGAACTGAATTCTGACACTCTGAATGAGCTTGGAAACAGATTACCCCCCAGAGTCTCCAGAAAGGAATATAGGCACCTCGATTTCAGCCTTGTTAGACTTGAAGCAGAGAACCAGCTGAGCCACAGAGTCCAGACATCTGGCCTACAGTAAATGTGAGATGTGTTGTTTTAAGCCACTAAATGTGTGGTAATTTCTTATAGCAACAAAAGAAAGCTAATACAGGCACTGTAGAAATGCCCTTATTTCTTTCAGCAAACACTACCTGATTCTCGGTTGAGTCAAACCATAGGGCAATCCAGATGTGAATATTTCAAGGTCTTTGCCCTTGCAGAATCAAACAGAAATTAATGACAACATTATAGTTAAGTGTGAAAAGAGTATTTTCAGAAGACTGTACAGATATGTGTTGGCTTTAGTCATTAAATCTTAAGGAGATGTGATTTTTTTTAATTAATGAGACTCATGAGTTTATTTTCTTGGTGTGTGTTTTTCTGTTTTTATCACAGTGCTTTTATTACAGATTATCTTTGGAAGTCAACACAGGTGCCATGGGGCAGTGTAAGGACTGATATCCAACCCTGCCCAGTTTGGGGATGAGTCACTCTTTTCAAACTGCACAGGTTTAAGCGAAGCAAATATTCAGGAATCTGAGTAACAAACACACCACCAGCAGACACCCAGGAATTCCCAAAAGTACACATATACCCCCTGACCCTCACTATGAGATAATGTACTACCACTGGCTCTGCACTTCAGCAGGCGTGGGTTTGAATCTCTTTGCAGTCTTTTCTCTAGCTCTGTGGCCATGGGCAAGTTATGAAACCCCTCACTGACTCAGTGCCATCATTTGGACACAGGATACATAGCAGCAAATTCAAAGGTGAAACTGGGATTAAACGGGATCTTTGTAAATCGCCTAGCACACAGTAGATACTCACTAAAGGCCAGCTCTCTTTGCCTATGAGAAGTTTCAGCCTTGTTTTTATACTCCAGTGAACCAAGCCTTAGAATAGCGTTTGCCCTTCTAATGAATATTCTCTCTCAAGAATTCTATCCCCATTTCCAAATGAAGTTGAAGTTCTGAGAGGTCAAATTACCCTGCCACACACACATCCCAGATGATTAAATGAGATCATATTTGCTACATAAACTTCCAACATAGCAGATGATCAATAAATGTGTACCTCTCCTGGTCCCTCCCACATTTCATTTCTTTGTTTGACTTTTGGTTTAGTGACCGTGCTCATGCTAGGATCTCTTTGGGTTCATCATCATATCCCCGACATCTGGCACAGTCTTGGCGCGTGGTAGGCTCCCAGTCTGTTGAATGAATGACCCTATCTCAATAATTACTTTCTTGGAGAAAATCTCTGATGATTATTTTCCCATAGAATGAGCCCTAAACAGTACTTGGAATCTGCTCAGACAGAATCAGGAAAGACTAAGGATTTCACACAAACACATCTATGCGAGGTGTAAAGATGCTCAGAAATAGAGACTTCATGACTTCACTATCGTCTATTGTCGTCAGGTCACAGAATCTGGCCATACAATGAGAGGCCCTAACTCACAGCTCACCTGCCATTCACCATCATTTAAATCCTGCTGTTTTTCAGTCTCCCAGGAGGCTGGGAAAAGTGTTTAAACTACCAAAGTGAAAATAATGGTTACTGCTGGGTTATAAGACTATGGGTAATTTTGGTTTTCTTTTTTTTTTCTACAAAGTATTACATATTTTTAATTAAAAAAAAATTCGTCTTCATTTCAACCACAAAACACAGAACATTTAGATTAAAATGACAGATATGGGTATTATTTTTTTCTTCTTTATAATTGTCTGTATTTTCCAAATCTAGAATGAGTATGTGCTACTTTGATGATGAAAAAATAAAACTTTCAATGCAATATAACTCAACAATGTGAGAACATCTTTTTCTCTTTCTCTCTCTTTTTTGGAGACAGGTCTTGCTCTGTTGCCTGGGCTAGAATGCAGTGGCATCATCACAGCTCACTCACTGCAACCTCCAACTCCTCGCTCAAGGGATCCTCCTGCCTCAGCTTCCCGAGCAGCTGGGTACACCTGGCTAACTTTTCTGTTTTTTGTAGACACGGGGCCTCGCTCTTGCTCAGGCTGGTCTCAAACTCCTGAGTTCAAGTGATCCTCCCGTGTCGGCCTCCCAGAATGCTAGGATTACAGGCATGAGCCACCATGCCCAGCCTGAGAACATCTTTAATAATAAAGTGTTCCTTTCATTTTCCTTAAAAAGATTTGTGGGACCCCCTAGAATGGCCTCAAAGGATGACCTCCACTAGTTTTTACCAAAATTGTGGAACACGGCAGCTCCCTGCCTGATTCTTTAAGGTTTTCAGGTGGAAATTTCAGGACCTCACTAAGGTGCCCATCCCATTTTTAATCTCTCTCAACTACAGAGAGATGTACTCAAATCTACCATAAATCCTTCTGGCCTCAATTTAAGCCATTTCCTTTATTCTTTTCTCTGTAAAGAAGGAAAAGAATCTTTAAAGTGCATTTTAAAACCAAAATGCTAAGAAGGTGGTGCTAAAGTGATGAGATTGGCAAATGGGGTTGTTTTCAGTGTTTTATTAATATAATAAAAACATTAACTTACACCCGACCCCAAATGGCTTTTCTTTACTTCTCTACAAAAGTCCACAGTAAAAAGAAGAGGTGGGGGGGACTTTTATTCCTCCTCTTCTTTAATGATGCTAATGTCTAAATGTGAGTTGAGGGCTTATATAAATGGCTTTTCACAGGCCTCAACTCTTGAATATCAAAACCACCATGTGAGGTGAGTGGGAAAACTGAGGCCAATAAAAGAAGGGAACTTTCCTAAGATCACACGATTAGTTGTTGCTGGAACAACATTTAA